GAAGAGACCCCCTCGGGCAGAGCTCCCCCCTTGGAAGTGCTGGGGGTGGCGGGGGGCACCGAGGAGCCCCCGGAGCATCACTGACTTAAAAACTCACTGTCTGGGCGTCGGATGCTCCCCGTCCCTCAGCCCCGCTGCGTGGAAGCGCAGCCTCCCTGGAGGATTTCACGTAGGTTCACGTGGCCTTTATGGCACCCGCTTGTGCCGTTTGATAAGGAGAGAGGAGATAAAATATTTTGGGGGCTGTAACGTAGACAGCCAGGGCTTGCCCTTGCCCTTGCCCGCCCCTCGCTGCCACCCCAGCCGGAGCGTCTGCTTCCATCGCCTCTAACCCTCTCCCTCCATCTTGCTTTTTTCTCTCTGCCCCTGCCAGCCGTGCGTAAACCCTCCTGGGCAGCGGGACGGGAGGAGCGGTGTCCGGTACGGAGGTTTGCAGCCCTAACGCAGCGCTGCCGCGAGTCGGGAGCGTTAACCCCACTGACACGGCGCGGCTGCTCGCCTAACCCCGCTAACGTTTCGGCATGCCCAGGCTCAGGGTCCGTGCCGGGGGACGGCCGGAGGCACCGTCCCAGCCTCCCGCCGCCCCTGCTCCAGCCAGAGCCAACGTGCGAAGCGCGTCGAGTCGCTGAGATAAATACGGTCGTTTGAAGCCAGAAGCCGTGCATGGGGGGCAAGGGGGAAGGTGCAGCGCCGAAGCACGCGCTGACTCTTCCTCGCTTCTGGTTTTGAGCCCTCTGCGGTGCAAACCTGTGCTGGTGGTCCCAGGGTTCGTTTTTCCATGGAGTTTCACAGAATCACAGAATCCCAGCATGGCAGGGGTTGGAAGGGACCTCTGTGGGTCATCTAGTCCAACCCCTGTGCCAAAGCAGGGTCACCTACAGCAGGCTGCACAGGACCTTGTCCAGGTGGGTCTTGAATATCTCCAGACTCCACAACCTCCCTGGGCAGCCTGTTCCAGTGCTCTGTCACCCTCAGAGTGAAGAAGTTCTTCCTCATGTTCAGATGGAACTTCCTGTGCTTCAGTTTGTGTCCATTGCCCCTTGTCCTGTCGCTGGGCACTACTGAAAAGAGTCTGGCCCCATCCTCCTGACACCCACCCTTCAGATATTTCCTAGCACTGGCCTTTTTTAGGGGATGAGGAATACTCCTGATTGAATAATACATTTGTTAAAGACTCTGTTTGCTGGTGATATCGCCAGTAAGCTGCATTTACTCATTTTGGTCGTCACCAGCCTGGGGTAGGTTAGGCTGCAGAGCTGAAGCTGTCTGTGTGTTTACTCTGAAGCCTACTGAAGGCGCAGAGGAGAGCTCCTGGACTCTGCAAGCAGCAGTTTGCTGCCAGCAGATGCTTCGTGTGAGAGACGGTGCAAAATGCCCCTGGCTGGATCCCACCTCCTCCCACCTCCCAGTATCCCAAGGTGTCTCTTGCTGGGAGGCCCTGGAGAGGAGGAGTGAGGGGAGCAGTCAAGGTGCCTGCAGCTTCGGGGCTGCCCAGGGCCCGTGGGGAGCCCCATGGATGCCGCCGTCGCGCAGGACAGTGCGTGCGAGGCTGGAGGAGCCGTTTGCTCTGGCAGGAGCCTGCATGCCTGCATGGCCGGGGGTGCCAAGCGAGCCCCGGGCACCTCCGCCGCCCCCCCGGGTCCCGGCAGCGCCC